ATTAAGTTCTAGAAATGCTTAAATTTAATCATTTATCCCTCCCCTTTTAAATGAGTGCACAAATGGCCAAGTGAATGAACCTATGAAAGAAAGCGTGCTAGCTTCCCAACAGCATGAACATCTTTGTTTATCTTAATGGCAAGTCCTCAGCACATCCCTCAACCTGGTTCATAAAGATTATGAGAAGCAGGTATCTCTCTCGCTGATATAGTCATTGATACCTCTAAAGCCTTTCATTTTCTATTCATCTGGTGATGGATGCAAAGGGAAGTATTGTTATCCTCATTTTCCAGAAGAGAAAACTATAATTGACTTCTTTTTTGCAAACTTTCAGGTATGTCATTCTTGGCTCAAAAAGACGAAGTGATTTTCTGGAGTTAGATGTTGCATGGAGGTAGGTTCACCCCCACCCTACAAAGTGTTTTACTGATACCCCTATGAGTCCCTGAAAATCTTACATAAAACTAGTACATCCTGTGGGAAAATGACCTATGCACCACTCAGGGTTGGCAGCAACTGATGGCACCAGGGTAAATGAACAGAGTTTAACAGAGAGACAGAGATGTGGGTGGGCCTTAGGGAACCAAAATGATGCAGCACCCAGAGACTAGTAACAAGGGAGAGCTATTACCACCTTTGAGCCTGAGGGGGCAATAGGAGGAAGCTATTACTGGACCTCAACAAGAGTTGTAGCTGTGGGAGAGGAAACTCCTGACAAGAGCCATGGCCTTAGACCAAAGAGCAGAGCCACTGCCAAAGCAGCTGAGCCCAGGCAGGCAGAAAGCTGGGATATAAACACCCCAATCTATTTCTTCTCCCACCTTTCAGTCTCCTGCTGGTGCCACCCACTGGCCAAACTCAACACAAAGCCAGAAATCATGGCAGCTCTAGTGATGAATTCCACAAAGATCAGTCTCCTGAGACACAGAGAAGAGCAGAGAAAGGTGGCAAGTGCATCTGGAGGGGAGAGGAAGAATAAGTAACACAGCTATAGATGGAACAGAGCAGACTAACCATTTGTCCATTTGGTCAACAAATACCTATCTTTCTAGGGGTGGAGGAGATAATGGTGAACAAGACAGGTAAGGTCTCTGTCCTCAGGGAGTTTAACCATCTAGTGGGGAGCAATTCACAACAATCATATAAACAAAGACACAGCAGTTTTCAGATAATGGTGAATGTCAGGAAGGAAAAACAGGATAATGGGTGGAGAGTAATTGTAGCAGATGAAGAGCTGCTGTAGATAGGGTGGTCTGGGAAAGCTTCTCAGAGGAGGTGGCATTGGGGTGCCCTGAGGTAAGGCAACCTGGACTCCCAAGGAAAGTCTACCTTGATCCCACTTCTACTACCAGACTTGATTCTATGTGGTTTGTGGGTAAGAATCAAATCTGGGCTGTGATTTAAATGCATCTGACTAGTCCTCAGGAAAATGAGAGACAGAACTGGAAGATTAGAATAACAACAACAGTGGGCACTAACATTTACACACAGATTGTCATCTCTGACACAGGGCTTTTACTAACTTCATTACATTTTTTCAGCTAGCTGTCATGGGTACCAAGGAACTGAGCTGTGAACTCTGTGTTGGAACATCCCCAGCCTGCAAGAACAGCAAGGTGGAAATGCACATTCTATCCCTCTGTCCTGGGGCATCTCAGCCCTATTCCTTTGAAGGTCTATGCAGCTGCAGAATGGTTTCTTCTTTCTTCCTTGGTGGGTCTGCCTGATGTGAACTTGAGATAGATTCTTCTTCATACATACCCTCCTACTCTCAATTGAAAAATTTAAAACGTCCGTGTCAGGGAGGTGAAACCTGTGCCCCCATAGCCCTCTCCCAGCCTCTGATAATACGCGCATTCAACAGCTCTGCAGCCAGCGGTGGGCCTGTATTTTCTTTCGCTCCCGCACTCGTGGCTCCTCCGGGTCGATTGCGGGCATGTCTCCAGTCTTAACTCGGTGGTCTCCAGGCCGTTTTTTGAATAGGTAAGATTTCTCAGTCAATAAAGTCAATGCAGTTTTCTTTCCCAGCATCCCCCTCCACCAAAAAAAAAAAAAAAAAAAAGTGAGGTGGGGACCAAGACGGGGGAGGCTGCGATTGTCAGCCTCTGGGGTCTACATTTTGTATTTCGCTGACAGCCCAGGGCCGCTGCAAAGCCCGCCGCGCAGCCAATGGGCAGCGGTGATTTATGGAGCTGACTAACGCTGGCTGAATGCGGCCTGTCAGAGCGCTGTGAATGGCTCCCTTCCCCGCACAAGCCCCGGCTTTGTGTTGCTAAGCGATTAGAGCAGATGTAATGAGATTTTGCCCAATCCTCGCTTTGCCCTTTCCTAGCTTAGGCAAAATTGTGTGTTTTTGTGAATTTTTCCAGTTTGCCTTCGCGTTGTGGCCAACAACAGCTAACTTTGCCTCGACTTTAACAAGACTGGATATTTCCCATTCAGAAGTGAGTGAAAGAACACCTGTCCTCACAGGAGAAGGAAAAAAAAAATCCCCTTTGTGGGGGCTGAAACATTATCCTAATGTTATATTCATAGCCATAAATGACTTGCTACACTTTCTTTGCACACCTTATCTGGAAACTTGCAAAGAAGCTAAATTAAACCAAAGAGAAACGGGGCGGGGGTGGAGGATGTGGTGGGGTGGGGGGAAGCCTAACCCTAGTCCTCCAAATGAGAAGATAAAAATAAAAGCAGGCATCACAAAAGCATTACTTCTCTCAAGTAAGCTCTAAATTGGCCCACTGCTGGCAGAAAGTCCGATTATTTATGGCGATGAGGAATTTACTGATTTTTTTTCCCTTAATTACGTTCATCTCTTTGAAAGGGACTGAAGCCTCAATGTGCATTCTATAGAGGGTCATTTAACAAAATGACATCAGACGCTGTGGCGTGCTCCGCGCATCGCGGCTTTAAAAAATGATTATTCTGTGCCACTAAATGGTATAGATGTACCAACACAGACTAGATTTTTAACTCTGGAAGACGTGCTGGCTACCCGTTCTTTGTTGGGTTTTGTAAGATGCATTTTGCGCTCGGCTTTCCGCTTGGCTGGAGACACGCAAACTGAATCTGCAAGTAATGCAGGCGGCGAGCGAGGAGCCGGCGAGAGGCCGAGTAGGATTCTAATCACGTCTTTGCTAACTGACAAGAAGCAAGCCAGCCAAAAACCCACCAATTTCTTTTTGAATCTTGGTAATTGGGTACTTTTACACGCAGCTCACGCTATTCGGTTAGAGTCACAAGCTTAGATAGGCCAGTGTCTCAAAGCGACCACACAGTTCTAATGCATTTATTTGTTAAAATCTAGCTCCTTCTGGAAGGAATTTATATCATACATACCTTTTACTTAAAATCAATACGGAAAGTGTGTATATTGGGGGAAAGGAGTAGAAAATGTGAGCCTGGAAGTGAGGGAGGAGGAACATATTGGCCAGTGGGAGCTCCTATGTGCAGAGTGATGCCTCCCCAACCCCCAACTTTCCACCCATGATTTCACCCAGCCCTCCCATAGTTTCACAAGGAGACACTCAGAATAGGGGTGTGGGTTGGAAAGTGGGGTGGAGGACCCTCTCTTTCCAGTTCACTTTTTTTGGGATTTTAAAATGTATAGTTGTTTTATCAAAGTATGATGCAGCCGTTAATCACCACCTATTCTCTCATGCATATGTGTATTTGCAAGATAGAATAGGAAGAAAACAGTACATTCTCTACATTCATCACTAAGTCACTACTTGGGTAGGACTGGCCACAGCACTTACCTTTGTCATTCCTGCCACTCAGTGTGTTTTGCACCACCCTCTCCCTCCCACCACCCCTTTGCTTTGGCATTTCAATAACTTGTCCAGGGGCATCAGAGTCAAAGAAAGCTTAGAGGCAGCAGATTACTTTCATTTTGAAAAAAGGAAAAAAAAGTTTTATTACGAAACTAGTTTGTATAAAACAGGGTTATACATATTTTTGTAAGTTTGTAATAAAACAGTAAGAAAAAAAAGGCAGTGATAGAAATTTCCAAAAGGCAACCCATCGAAACCAACTGGCTGCCACTCTGTGTTTGGACAGTAGCTGCATAAACTTTGTTCTTCGTGAACAGTATTTAATAACATCATTAATACATTAACAACGTTTCTATCAAGTAAGACACATTGGTGCTGAAGTACAACTGGTGGCCTTTTGATCTCACCTATGAGGAGAGTTCTTTACAAAACCACATAGGGAAAATGGCAGTTGTAAGGTGAACTACACATCTAAAATATGCAGAGGTAATAGCATTACATGTTAAAGTATCAAGATATACACATTTTAAACCATTTGTACAAAACTTCTATAAATTTTTTTTCTCTCTCTTTCTCTCTTATGTACAAAAATATCTTAATATATCCCCAAACTGGTTAGGATAGATACAAATAGATTTTTTCTTATAATAAAAAAAATTCACAAAAGATTGGAAGCATTCTATGATGAAAACAGTAGAAAAGATGGTGAGAGGGAAGTGGTAGGGTTTGGGGATGGGGCCCGGAGGAGGAGTAGGGTTTCGAAGGACTGAGTAGAGCATAGTTTCACTGTAGACTAATGTCTTCAGCTTATTGGGGTGGGGGTACTGAGATGAAAGACACCAACTCATTTCTAGAGGGCTACAAACTGCGTTTTGAGAGAGGGCGGGGAGGTGAAAGCGCCCGAGCCAGCGCTTTCAGCTGGGCGTGTTAGTGGTGGGTGGGAGTTACTATAGTGCGTCTGCTGCTCCCGTCTGCCAGGAGCCCACTGCTTTTGCACACGAGCTGCATTTTGCGCGTTGACTCAGATCCTAGTCTCTCTTCATATCTCCTTGAATGATTGGAGTGCAAAGATAGTGTTCTGAGCGTAACCCTGTGTTCTGAGGGCCTTGCCTCTCAGGCATGCGTGTTTAGTTTCCATTGGGTTTGGGTTGGTTGGCCGTTTCTGTTGTTTGTGTGTGTGTGTGTGTGTGTGTAGTTTTTTTCCTTCTTCTTCTCTTCTTTTTCTTCTTTTTTTTCTTTTCCTTTTTTCTCCCTCCCAACGTCGCTGACGCTGACGAGAAAGCACTAAAGACAGCAGGTTATGCGGTCACCCTACAGCAAGGAGAGTAACGGGAGAGGTTAGTTTACACTCGAAGCCTAGCGGCGGGGGAGAGGGAGGTTTAGGGGAAGAGTCTGCCAGGTAGAACATCTCTTTTGACACATCCCAGTTCTCAGTTCGCCAGCAGAGCCGCACCCCACCCCTACCCTCCATTCCTTGGAGAACTGGGCAAAGCCACGTTCAGAGGCTAGTGCTGAAACTAACAAACTAGGATGTGAAATTGACAAACTTTAACAAACCCTTTCAGTGTAACTCCCCCCATCTCCATGGAGACAGCCCCCCTTCCACAAACATTCAGAGGGAGAATGAAGACAAGAATACCCCCCTTGCCCACCCCAAAATGCAACCTACCTGCTTCCAAAGTCCATTCGCACCAGGGCCTGACCAGGCCGTGCCCCTCAGAACCAGTTGGTGAAGTCGAGCAGCTCCTGCTCCTCGGGGCTGAGCGGGTCGTAAGAGCCCTCGTCGGACGAGTAGGATGAGACCGGCGAGCCGGCCATGGAGTTCAAATCGTTGGAGTAGTTGGGGGAGATGGTGGGCGACAGGACGCCAGCCTGGAAGGCAGCGCTCACCGCGTCGTGCTCGTCGAGCAGCTGCTGCAGCGCACGGATGTACTCGACGGCCGAGCGCAGGGTCTCCACCTTGCTCATCTTCTTGTTGGCCGCGCCGTTGGGGACGTGCTCCCGAAGGGTGGCAAAGCCCAGGTTGACCAACTTGACGCGGTTGCGCTCGCGCTCGTTGCGACGCGCCACGGCGGCCGGCTGCTGCTGCGGCAGGCTGTAGCCGAAGCCGCTGAAGTTGAGCCGGCGTTTGCAGCGCATCAGTTCGGGCGAGGACGAGCGCTGTCGTTTGACTTGCTTGGGCGCTGACTTGTGACCGCCCCCTGAGGGCTGGCTGTCGGCCGCGGGGCTCAGCTGCCGCGCCTGCTGTTGCTGCTGCTGCTGCTGCGCGCTCTGCGCCGCCGCTGCCGCCGCCGCCGCCGCCGCAGCTGCTGCGGTAGCAAAGAAGCAGGCTGCGGGCGGCAGGAAGGGCGGCTGGGGCTGCGGCTGCGGCTGCTGGCCCGCGCCGCCGCTCTCCATCTTGGCAGAGCTTTCCATGCGCAGCGGCGGCCAAGGAGGCGCGGGATCAGAGCGAGCTGGGACCCGAGGTGCGGGGCGCGCGAGGGGGACACAGACAGGACTTGGGTGCACGAACAGACAGAGAAAGAAGGGGAAAGATGAAGAGGGAGCCCCGAGGAAGTTAAAAAAAATACAAAATCCCCAGGAGACTTCCTAGAGAGGGAGCAAAGAAGGTGCAAATGCCTTTTCTCCTCTGTCTACGCCTCCTCCTCCTCCCACCCCTCCTCCCTTCGCGGGTTGGCTTCGGGAGCCTCGCGTGGCGCTCGCGTGTGAGGCTGTCGCTAGCGCCTTCTTGTTTCTAAGAAAAAAAAAAGCAGAAGAAGCAGCAAAAGTCAGTGCTGAGCGCGCTCTGCTGAGTCTCCCGTTCCTCTCCCACTAAGGCTGCGCTCTCTTGCGCCGGGTCTCGGTCTCTCCAGCCGTGGCTCAGGCTGTTTTTATTTTGTTAACCCCCTTTCTTTCTTATTTCCTTCTTTCACTCGCCCTCCCTGGCCGGCTCCCTGTCGGTGCGCCTTCCACGTTCCCTGGCCAGAAGTGAGAGAGTGCTGTGCGGCCGGAGTGCGGCCGCCTTTTCAATGGGACACCCAGCCCCACGCGCAGCCCTGGCCCCGCCTCGCCCCCCACTCCCCGCTGCTGCAGCGAGCGGCTGCAGCCCCCACTCCCCCCTCCTCTTACCTCCTCCTCCCACCCACTCCCTAAACTCCCCCTCCTCCTCTCTCCCCCCTCCGGTTCCCTTCGCCCGCTCCTTGCAAACTCTCCATTCAGCCGGGTTTGTTGTTGCAGTGCGTGCGCCTGGCGCGTGCCGGACTCCCGGCTGAATAAACAGGCGGCGCGCTCGGGGCGGGCTGCAGCAGGGGGGTGGCTTTAGAAAGGGGGGGCCGGCTTCGCAGAAGGGACAAATAACCTTGGGAATTGGGGTGCACTGGTGGAAAGATTTGGGGTGAAATGCCCTTTGGATCTCCTGAGAACGTGCAGCAAAGCGCAGGGAAGAGTTTGGGCAGAAAAGTGGCACAGGGGCGATGTGGAGATGAGGAGGTAGTGGAGCTCCATGTTTCCTGTTTTCTTCCCCTCCCCACTGTTTTACTCTTGGGGTTTTTCTCTGACCTTAGAAGTTGAAGCAAATTATAATTGAAAGATGGGAGAGGGAACTCCGTCCAAGACACTGAGAAAAGTGCAGGACTGTGTGAAGACTTGGGTTCTGGTCCCAAGGCGTCCTCTCCCTAACTCGGTGGCTTTTGGTGAGTGGTATCCTCTCTGAGCCTCCGTTTCCTCGTCTTTAGCCACAGAAGTTTGGATTAGATGGTCTCAAATGCCCCATCCAGCTCTAAAAATTAGGATGTGGTCCCCACCACCGAGCAAGTGTAGAGGGGCCCTAGGAGAAGGGACATTGAGGGTCTGTTGTGATCAGTGCTGTAGGTAGGTGTATGTGACAAGACGCCCCCCTAGGATGACCTCCGGCCCCCCTGTAACATCGCTCCCCCAAAGGATTATTTCCGGACCGGCTGGGGGGCAGATTATAAAGAGGGGAGTCCTCTAGGATATTCCCGGATCTTCTGAGAAGAAACATGGGGGTGGGGGGCAGGTGATGGAGCTTGGGGGACTGGAGAATCTTCCCCAGTTGTTCTGCCGCAGGCACCTCGGCGGCCTTGGCTCAGCCTCCATCCCGCCCCAGGCGTGTGCCCGGCGGGCCGGTGGCAGGCGACTGGGAGCAGAGCCCGGCGGGGCCGCGTGCTGGCTCCGCGAGGGAGGGGGAGGCGCTTGCCGCAGTTGCTCGGCCGCTTGGACAGCGCCTGCCCAGCCGCCCTTCCTGGGCCCTCGGCCCTGGCTGGCTCTGACCGCAACCCTGCCCAGCTTCGGGACGTCTGGGGACACGGCGCTGCTCCTGGGAAAGCGAACGGAGCAATGGGCCCCATCTCTTTAAGGCTCTGCTGGGGAGAGAGGCTGGGGCGAGCCTCCCGCGTCTACACAGGCAGAATTAAGCGGAGGTCAATCGTACAATTTGATTTGTCCAGCAGAAATAGTCGGTTTGATCAGGCGAATTATCGGGATCATTGCTTCTAATCGAACTTCGCTTTGTGGAGATGGGTCTTTCTACAGGGCCAGTGGGGGTGACCAGGGAGCCGCCTTTGGTGTGTGTGGCTGGCTACAAGTGTTTTCGCAACAATAGTGGTGGTGGTGGGCAGTAAGGACCAGTGGCTCCCTAAGTGAATCATCTCTCTTTGCTACCTGTTTCCTCTTTGTAGAATGGGTAACTTTGAGAAGTATAGGACTGAATGGTGCCAACAGAGATCAGTTCCATAACCCTCCCCATCCTCGTGGCCCCTTCACCCCACGGTAACCTGTGGCTTGCTGACCTCACAGGACTTTGTTCAAGCCCTTGAATTTACAGCTAAGGCCTCCCCACCCCCAGACCCCCAGGAAAGGAGCTGAACGGTCTCCAAGGTCATATTTGTCTTCTCTTTCCATAAGTATAGGAGGTAATTACGCCTAAAGCAGAGCCACACCACTCAGCTTGGGTGACCGTCCTGCCCTGTCCAACTCAAGTGAGCCCCAGACCACCTGGAGAAATGGCGACAACTCAGGCACTCCCCACCACCCACACACCTCGGCTGTGAGCTCTGGGAGCATGTGCTAGGAGGCCACATGCCCCTTCCCTTCCTCTTCAACAAAATAGTCAGTCAGGGATGGGGGTGGGAGGGGGTGTCCCTAGCATGGATTCACCTAAATGCGCTTCTTTTCACATTAAGCTGAATAGTGAGCTCCATTCTAACTCAGACTCTGTCATTCCACACCTGACAAAGGTCCAGACTCCCAGCTCTACCACTCTTGTGCATTGTAAACTTGAATAAGCCCCTCTTCCTCTACTGGCCTCAGTTTCCTGATCCGCACAAGAGGGGTGTACACTAGCTAATTAAAAATTCATATCTAGGAGAGGGGAAAATTTGCTGGTAGCCAACATGTGTTCACAGTTTCCCTTTAGGGGACTTGGGCTCACCAGCACACAAAGATCCCATGCAATTACCAGGGACTTAAGACCAGAATCCCCCACCCCCACCCCAAGCACACACATATACCATGATATGGGCACCTGAATGAAGGCATATAGTAGTGAAGACTTCTAGTGGTCCTGCCCATTGGCATCAGCCCAGGAAAAAAGACAGCAAGCTCCCTGCTAAAGCTACTGAAACATTTGTTCCCATTTTCCCTACTCCAGCCCTGAACCAAAATGCTGTCCCCACTGTCTCCTCCCTTGTATACTAAGCTTTCTTTTTTATGTGCTTTGCAAAGCTTTCCAAGAACCCAGAGAATGCTCAACACTGTCATCACCACCTTCTCCTCCAACGCTAAGGTGGAGCAGTCTGGAATTTTTCTTTAGGGGTTTAGATCTCTGCTGTTAGGGCATTGTGCACTATCCAGGAGAGTTTTCCACTGATATTGGTTTTCTAGTTGTTTTCACCAGTGTGGAACAAAGGATTGAGATTCAAAAGCCAAAATTAGAATCCTGCCTCTGACCCTGTGACCTAGATTATCATACCCCCTCCCCACCGGAGAGAACTGGCTGCATACTGTCCTAGGGAGAATTCCAGATAAAGTAGATTGACTTGACTTGGTGTCCAGGCTCTATGTGACCTTGAGACACTCTGGGAGTCTCCAGTTTCCTCATCTGCACCAGCCAATGGTTATAATACCTACCTCCAAGAGTTGTGAGATTTCAATAAGATTTGAGTGGAGCACTCCAGAGCAGGTCTAAATAGGAAAGGATTAATTAGGAAGTCAAGCTCACACAGCCCACCCAGGAAAGGGTTTGTGTCAGGAGGAGCCTCCGTGCTTGGCTTCCCAGAATCACACTGTGATCATAGCTTCAGCCAGTGGAGATGCAATGCCACCCTCTCTCACTGTCCCAGCACCTGGGGGTAAGTAATTCCTGTCACTTTTGAGGAATGGTGATGACGGATCACAAATGAAGGCAATGAAGACAGGAACCACATTTTTTAACATGAACCATAGTGAGTGAGATAAAATACAGAGATGCTCTGTGGCCTCCACATGCAGGGGGCTTCAGCAGAGCCACTGGCCCTGACTTCCACATCAGCTTTCTGTGGCTCCCTTGCCACCCAGTGGGCCTAAATCCTCACAAGACCCCAGGGCTTTACTTGGCTAAGACATTTGAACAATGTCCCATTTATCTGGGCATGGAGGGAGAAGAAAACAACTCACAAAAGGAGGGTTTCATACCTTCATCCATAAATAGGGCAGTGGCACTCCCCTTGCCTATGTGTCAAGGCTGTTATGAGAATTAAATCAGATGTTGTTGGTTAATTTGCTTTGCAAATCTCTCCACATATATCAGGGATTGCCTTTTCATTCCTCCAGATAGCAGCATTCGAACAGTGTTCTGTTTTGTGATAGGGGAGGGCAACACATTGAACCCCTTTGGGGAGTATCACCCAGAATATAGACGTTCCAGAAAAATAGAAAAGTTTTTCTTTTTCCTTCAAATGCAACAAGAGATTTAATTTCAGCACTTTCAGGCCCCTTTCCTATGTCAGGACACCCCGGAGCTGAACTGTACTTTAGATTAGACCTTATCTTCATTCAGCACCAGGGCTTATAGAGGGAGATGGCTTTTCTTGTGATCCACAGGGGTCTGCTGCCCTCGGATTGGAGAAACTGTGCTCCAGTCTCCTGCTACCTTAATTTCCACTCACAGCTGAAGGCCACACCAGTGCCACCTTTGCTCACATGCTATGCTCAAGTTCCGGGATTGTGCCCTTTCTCTCTGTGAAAAGGAGATATGTCTCATCTCTTTGAAAAATGCTCCATCTATGCCTTTTCTTTGAGGAGAGGGGTTAATATTAAAAAATGAAACTAGGATTTCCGTGGGACAGATAATTGAATAAAGTTATATTTATAGTGGATCGTGAATAAGGGCCAAAGAGGGTACAAAGGTTAATACAAGCCTTGCATTCTGGATTTGGTCACAAAATTGTTCATGCAATCCTCAATTTGGTGGGCAACCTGAGTCCCAGAGGCCACGATGCTTGCAGAAAAGTGAGTGTGCATGGCATTCCTAGCAGATATATATATTCCTATATATATATATATATATTCTAATATATATATTCCAATATATATGTTCATATATATTCATATATATATATTCCAATAGTTATTAAGATAAGGCCTCTGTCCTTGGCTGTGTGCAGCTCTAAGCCTGTGCTAGATGAGGTACCCAGGGAAAATGAAAGGGACATTACCGCACAATGTGCTGTTTCCCAGAACAGTATTCCCAAGGTAACTTCAGAAAAGGCTGCTATTCAGCCTGAGTTTAGTCTGCAGAAACCTCGGAGGAGGGCCTGTTCAGGGGGCAGAACAGCACAAACCACGTATTTGGCTTGGCCCAGCTTCCTGGTCACAGCAGCCAGGCCTGCACCTGCATTAAGGAATCCAGGCTTCTAACAAATCTATTCGCTTTTTCAGTATGTCTTAAAAAGAAAAAGGAAAGTTGGAAAAACAAAACAAAACAA